TTATTATTATTATTATTATTATTATTATTATTTTTCTGGAGTGTTTAATCTGTGGACATTCTTGCTTGATGCTCCAGCAATGGTTAGTCATCATACGTACATTCTGTATATTCTTGGTACCATGCCTCCATAATCTTCAAATCTGGGTGAAATCGTTCACTCTGCTCATCACTTGCTGCAGCAAGAATTTTCGTGAAGTTTTCAAGATGGAAATATAAAAAATGCAATTTGATGCTCTTCATGTTGCAACTAAGCATTTTGAAGTTCTCCAAAAGTTGCTGGACAATTTCTTTGTAATTTTGTGCTTGTGTACTTCCAAGAAAGTCTGTGACAATGTTTTTGAATGCCAACCAAACTTCTTTTGAAGTTCTGTCATTGTTCTGTTGAAATGTTCATCTTTAAAGAGCTGCTGAATTTGAGGACCATCAAAAATCATCTTCTTCTTTAGATTGAGTTTGTCAGGTATCGAGCACCTCTGCTAAATAACATTTTGTGCCAAATGCCCTAAACCCAGTGCTTGTTACCTCCATTTGTTTGGTTTGCCCACTTTGTTTATAAAGTGTAACAGCCCCATAATAGAGCTCAGGTGTAACTTTTAAGTACTGAGAATTCCTAAAGTGGTGTACATTATCAAAAGTTCAAGGTCAGTAGCTGTTTCCCCAGTAAATGTTTTTCAGGATGTTCCTCAGTGAGTAGAGCTATTTTAGTAGTAACCACCATAAGAGCCTCCCTAAAGGTATAAGCTTCAGATCTGTTTCTTTTGGCAGTCTTTGGGGCTGTATTCTGCTCTATCTTTTGAAGTTGCCTTTTTTCACCTTTCCCTAAGGTTTTTCAACCCATGTACCTTTGCAGATTTTCAATTCTCGGGCATGTTTTTTTTTTTTTTTTTTTTTTTTTTTTTTTTTTTTTTGGCTTAGTACATTTTTTTTTGATTTTATTTAGAGAGGCAGTCATGCTTTTAACGGCTTCCTGCCCTTCTCCAGATGTGCATTGGGCAGAGGTCATTTCTGCCTCGCTCGATGAAGGATTAATTTCTGCTCCTTCGATTCATTTCCTCTGGGTTTTCTTGTTTTGAAGAAAAAGGTCTAATTCAGAGGTTTATGTCTGCAAAAGCAGAATTTATAGTTATATTGTCATTTTAAGCCATAAATAAACTAGAAAAGAAAGTACAGGATAAATAGGTCCACCCATTATTGCCTGTTACTTTGTAAGACAAAATACTGTAGATATTGCCAGGCATTCTAGACACTATAACCGCAGTGTCATTTACCCTAGGCACAGGTTGCCTAACACCAGGGTTACAAGAGGGGGTTCGCGGCTTTTTATTTATTATTCGAAGCTATGCTGTCGGATAATACAGGACATCTAGCTATCCACCACCTACCGACGTGCCTGGTAGGCACTCAAGCCCCAGGGCCATCAAATGTACTGGGCTCTTTTTTTTTCAAATAGGCCAGGAAGTGCCAAGATGAGATACTTGAAAATGTTTCCTTCAATTGACAAAGCTTTCACAAATTGCTTCGTGAGGCCAGTTTTACATGCAGAGATGGAAATATAATGTTCTTTTTGTCACAAGTGTCTGATGTAGAATGTTTGGATTATCATGTTTCAGATCAGATCTTCACGGCCAATTTGACTGCACCCAATGCTTCTCACGAGCTCTGCTTTCCCACACGCGCAGAAAACAGAGATACTTGGTATACCCACGTTATTAGCCAAGGAGGAAGCAGACCATTTTGAGGTCAACACAGATGATCCATTGGTGTATGTGATATAACAGCAAATAAATACTCTCTTTATGTGTTTATATTCTTCACATAAGCAAACTGAATGGCCTATTAGAACTGCACCAAATATATTTCCATTGTGGAGGAGGAACACAATTCAAGCTCCACTTTGAGCTATTGAAGGACAATAGACATTGAGTTGCATTATAGGTTGAAATTCCCAACTCTTCTATCAAATCATGCACATTATGGCTGTATACAACTTCAAAAGTGTTGCAGAAACAGATTTTGTCTTGATCAAAAGTAGGATACCTTAATTCCTTTTTCAAGTAGTTTTTATCGTGCAGTCTTGATGCTTTGAAGTCCCAAAGATTTCGATTGATTTCCCAGAGGAAATCAGAGTTTGCTTTGAAGCTCTTTTGAAGTCTCAAATCTTCTGCCAATAAATGCTGGTCAAATCCCTTATCTTAACGAAATCATTTTCAGTTTCAAAATCTTCATCGTTGGGGTCAGTTGGATATTCACCAGAATCGTATTCTTTTATTTCCTAAGAGGGTAATTCTTTGAAAACTGGCACTGGGAGTATAGCTGGTAGTAAACTAGGATTTTCTAATTTACATTTGTTTTTCTTTTTATATCCTGATGTTTTCACTATGCAAACAAGTAACGACCAACACGAACACTGATGGTCGTCACTTTCCATATAACAAACATTTGAGTGATCTTTGGGCTCTCACCAAATCGTAGGTTTACCAGAATGGAAATTTAGAATATGTTCCTTTCATCCACATCTGTGAACTCTAAACACACTACTTGTGCACTTTGTGAGGGCCCCATGATTTGTCTTGGTCACCAATTTTTCACTTTAAAATAGGCAAAATAGGCTTGCCTGATAAATGTACTGATCTTTGTCTTTTGACTGAGTAAAATTACCCCATATGTAACAAAACAAATCAAGTCTGTGTAAGTACTTAAGACAAGGACTGGCAGGTGCAGGATTAAGGAAACGTTTCAGTTTATGTACAGATAAAAACTAAATACTGCTAATTTTGTATGCAAACAAAAATTCGGATTCCATGTTGAAATGCACTTCACTATAGTAGAGGTCTTGCTATAGTGTCTTGGGCGTAATTGAATTAGTCTAGACAAGTATACACCTGTCATTGGTCTTCTATAGCATCATTCACCCGGTGCCACTCAGAGGGTTTTTGTTGGCCAATAAGAAATTAGTAGTACTTCTTATGACCCACACTTAATGCCGCAGAGCATGATTACATCCACATAAAATGTAGGCAAGAACTTGATGTGGTAGAAGAAAACTAACTACAATTTTGAAATGAGCATGCCTAGTTAACTCTTAAACAGCTTAAAAATCTAACTTGACAAAAATTGTGTTACAAATTTATTCCCCAGTGTTTGTTGCTTCAAGAAATATTTTTCAGTTCTGTGACTGTAATCGAACTTGAAACAAGAATTGCATAATTAAAAACTGTAGCATTGTAACTCTGAAACTGAAGTAAAATACTACTGTCCTGTGGATCACATAATGTCAAATGCATTGGAATCTTAATCTGTAACGGCAGAAATCATTTCTGTGAAACAAACTCATCAAAAGTTAAAGTACATATATACAGTGGCTCACAAAAATGATTGGGCACTTTAAAATTTTGTATTCTTTTAATGAACATAAAAACTAAAAAATATTTTTATTTTCTTTATGTATACCTTCAATATATTTTTATAAAAAATACATTTTCAAAAAGATGAAAATTAAATTAAAAAATCGTTACCTTTTGTTTAATGAGGAAAAATATTCTCACAAAAGTAATCAGACACTTTTAGTAACAGCCAAAAATAACAAAAACTTATATTTTGCTTTTTAATGTCTTATAGGATTACCTTTACACTTGATCACTTCGTTTAATCTTTTGGGCACTGAGTCTGCAAGTTTTTTTTTTTTTTTTTTTGTTATTTTTTGACTTATTTTATGCCATTCCTCTCGAATCGCTGCTTTCAGTTGCTGCTGCAAAGATATGCTCTGTTTTCGAATTTTTGATACTAGGTCCTGCTGGATATATTCAACAGGATTAAAATCTGGCATTTGGATTGGTGCCTTAATTACTTTTGGACACTTACATAACAGCCAAATTCTAACATTGTCCATAGTATGCTTTGGATCAATGTTGTCCTGGTAACATTTAAAACTATTTTATATAATAAAGTTTTGTGCTGACGATGCCAAATTTCGGTTCAAATACTAATCCATCATACCATAACTTCTCGTCCATCGTGTTCTCCCAAAATTCTTCTTTGGGTTTTTGTCCACACTAGCCACTCCTCCATGTGAGCCAAAGATGTTAAATTTGCTTACAGTCTGCAAAAAATAATAAGCCGAATCAAATTCGAAGATTAAGGAACAACACAATCATCAACATTAACTGAAATAGATAATTAGATAATTTTAGCTTATACCGTCTGTTATACATTAAACGCGCACGCAAAAACACCTACGAGCATGTGTCAACGCGGCGCATGCGCAGAAAGATTTTAGCTTTGAGGTCCGGATTATGGGTGTCCGAATTAACGACTTTTGACTGTAACGCATAATAATATCTAAAACTGTAGAATTACTTTAATGAAGTAAATAGGCAATTTTTCTAATAGATTTCCTCTTTCTTTTGATGCAAATAAATTACTAATTTGTGGGTTTCTAACCATGTTTCCTTTTGTGATCGAGCCATTGCAAGAAAATATTAAACTAATGAATATTTTTTAAAAAGAAAATTCAAATTATACAAGCAAACAATTTTTAGCCTTTTGCGTAGCTTCCTTATCCAAACTAATTCCACAAAATTTAGTTTTTTATTTATTGCAGATAATTTTAACTAGAAATTATAAAAAATGTCCAATTAATTTTGTGGTATCTCTTTTTTTATTTATTTATTTATTTATTTTATTTTCCATTTCAGCCTAAAATGTTATTTTTTTAAATTTACTGTTTTGACTTAAAATTTTCAAATTTATTTTATACAAAGAAAGAGAGAGAGCTAAGAAAATATGTATTCAGAGGGAAAATATGCTTTATTATTTTATTTCAAAGCTTTTCTCCTATTACTTAAAAAAATAAAAAATTATAGTGGCCGATCATTTTTGCAAGACATTGTATATTTAATTTTAAGTAATTCTTATTTTAAGAATATTGTATGCTTCTGTTTTAAAAATCTTCTATATAAAAACTTCTTGATTAATTTCATCAAAATTATAACATTTTAGGTATTGCTAGTGACAAGCAGCAGAGCGCCTGAAAGATGGATTGTTCCTGGTGGAGGATTAGAGCCAAATGAAGAGCCTAGTGTTGCTGCCATTCGGGAAGTAGTTGAAGAGGCTGGTGTGAGGGGGCACTTAGGCCGATGCCTTGGCACTTTTGAAGTATGATAAGTCAACTTTTTGTTAAAACAATATTTGTGAAATAAATGAATTTAAGATAATGTTCTTTAATGACAGTAGATGTTAGATTTTTGTGTGTGTTTATTGACGACTTTAAAAAAAAATGGGGGGGGGAGATGATAAATCGCTGAATTAGAATTTGAAAGTAAGAACTTTTAGTTAAGGTTATTATTTGTTTTAAAAATATGCAAATGTATATCTGTTATGATAATTTGTAATTTTATTCTTTTTTCATCATAATTACTTTATTTTATTTGAAAATTATTCTTTGTTTTGACTTAAATTTTTATCTTAAAGCTTATGTTTCAAAAGTATAAAAATAAATTGTTTCAAACAACATTTAAGTATTAAATCTTTTCCTAGAATCCTGAGCGAAAACATCGAACATCAGTGTTCGTGTTGGTCGTCACTGAAGAGCTTGATGAATGGGAAGATTCCAAAAGTATAGGTACATTTATTCATAATATGTAGTGCATATATAAATTACAGTAAAATTTAAAGTTTTCTCTTGTCTTTCTCTCTCTTTTTTTTTTTTTTTTTTTTTTTTTTGTGGGGAGATGGCGAATAGATGTCTCATTGACAAGGTGACATTTTTTTTAGTATGAAGAATTTTTTTTCAGAAATTGCTCATACTTATATACTGACAATTCTTGTCACTCTTAAATCCATTTATATGTTATGTATTAGATTAAAGTCCATTTCACATTTTACTGTATATTTATATATGTATAATTTTATTATTGCAGAAATAGATTTTTTTTCTTGCTTTATTACTCTTATGCATTACATAAGAGTAGATGCTGAATGTTGAGTTTATTTGTTTGAGGTTTTATTGATTCAATTTTCTTAACATAAAGGTAATCATATTTGTGATAGAATATTTATTTAAATTGATTTTTAAATATTTTAGTACATTTCATATTTAAAAATTTCTTATTTATTATATTAGAATTTTTTTCTTTATTAGTGTAAGTGTTAAAGATTTGAATCTATTTTTGGCCATTATGAATTGAAGCATTAAGACTAATAGTGAGAGCATGTTTTTCAGTCAGTAATCAGTTACACATAATTACTATGCAGTACATAAAACCTTAATTAAAGGACATTGTTACATTCATAATATTCATAATCGACCAACTAAATAACTACAAATAATTTTTTCCCCCTTGAATCAGTAAAGCTGGTGGATCACCAAAAATGCAACTGGAAAATAATCTTCAAATGTTATGTACTATTTTTTTACTCCTTTTTTTAATCCAAAGCACTTTATATAGTTTAGGAAAATCAATTTTAGAAATTTTTCTGCTAGTTATCATACATCCAGAATGCTGAGGACTTCAGTAATTACTAGAGAAATAAGTGCAAAGATTCTGAAAAATACTAATCTCATTAAATGTACTGAGCTTGCATGGTTAAGATGGATTGAACTAAGCATTGAGCATAAGCCAGTAAAAGATACTATGTAATATATTACAGTATATCTATTACATAGTGTGTAATATATAATTTTTCATAAGAATAAATTTAATTTAATTAAATAAATTTAATTTAAATACAAATTTAGTTAAATATTCTTTGCGCCATTGCTGCAAGGAATGAAATTTAAATTTTAACAAACATGTATAAAAGTAAAAAAGCAAATTTAAAGCCAAAATAAAGAAAAAAAAAAGCCAAAATAATTTTTAAAAAATGTGCAACATATAAAAGATTTAATTCTCGAACTAATCTACAATATCATTTAAATTCAGAAGCATAAGCAAATCAAGTGCAAAACCAATCCATGCATGGATTGGTTTTGCACTTGATTCGAGAATTAAATCTTTTATATGTTGCACATTTTTTATTTTGGCTTTAAATTTGCTTTTTTACTTTTAAACGTGTGTAATATATATATATATCCTGTTGCATATTATGTAATATATATTACATATGTATTTATAGTATACATATGTACCGTTATCTGCCACTAGAATGAATTAATAATTTATTAACATAACTTATTTAATGATTATTATATTAAAGTGTGATATGCATCAGTCAAGCAATATTGAATTATGACTCTAGGATATAAACTTATCTGAAAAAATATTCTTAGACCTTAAATCTGATCAATTTAAAATTTTTATTGTGCGTGTTTCTTTATTTTACATGCTGTGTAATATTATTTAATAGTATGTTAATACACAAATATTATAGCCAACTTTTGGACTCATGTAATTCTAACTTCCATTCATAATTTTTTTTTTTAAATTTATTATTTGGCAGCATGACCTTTATGAAAACACAGGATACATCCCTGCTCGATGGGGGAAAAGTATTACAGTCAAAAGTCATTAATTCGGACACCCATAATCCGGACCTCAAAGCTACAAACTTTCTGTGCATGCCTCACATAGACGCATGTGCATAAGACCTTTACGGCTGCGAATATGCGTGTGCGCATGCGCATAATATGTTTACACATGCGCGTTTAATGTATGACGGACGGTATAAGCTAAGCTAAAATTATCTAATTCAGTTAATGTTGCAGATTGCGTTGTTCCTTAATCTTCGAATTGGATCCGGCATATTATTTTTTGCAGACTGTTAGAGCAATTTTATAAAAGTAAGCTTGGACTTTCGATTATGTCAAATAGAATTTCCGATATATAGTTACTAATATGTAAAGGATCTACAAAGCGAAAGTATGTTTCGAAGTCCATTAAGCAAAAAGTGGAATTGCTGCAAAAAATGGATAAAGGCATATCCTTCATTTCTCTAACCATTCTGAAATCTATTTATCAATTTCACGCTGCTTTGCGGCGGGGGGAGGGGGGAGGACGCCGCGGCGCGCATTGAATTGGAAGTGTTGATCTGTCAGCACTATCCTTATCTTCAGGGCAGATGTTTTTATTTTATTTGGCTTGTAATTCCTTACTAAATGTAGTATTTTATCTTGATGTACTCCGTCTTTGATATGATTTAAATCAAATTCCTCGTCATTATAATTCGCTTCCGATAGTGAAGAAAGTGACACAGAGGTTATTGAAAACAAAAAAATTTCGATTGACAAATTAGTCGGTATTCTCGACACAGCAATTATAGGACTTGAACAGCGGAACTTTTTAACTGAAGAAGAAATTATGTCTATTTCTAGAATTAAAGAGAAAGTATTATCCCATAAAACGAAGCAACTTAAACAACTTACATTGAAAGAAATGTTTAATAATGTAAACAAATAAGTATTAAGCTTTTTTTTTTTTTTTTTTTTTTTTTTTTTTTTTTTGTAAATTTTGATACCCTTTAGATCATAATTGTTCTTTATTTCATAAATTACGGTTTCATATTTTTAATTTTATAATTTCTGCATGCCATCTTACCAGATTTAAACTGATAATGTATAATCTGGAAAAATCGATGATCGGGAATCGCCGAAGTCCTGACGAGTCCGGATTAACGACTTTTGACTGTAAACCTCTTTGTAGTTTCCAAAATTAAGAATTTTTATGGCAGAACTTTGCAGTGTACTTGGAGAAACCTAAAGCTTAACTCACTTTTAGACAAAAGAGGCATAAAACAACTCCCTATTTTAATTAATTACTAAGGCAAAAATTAGTTTTCTCATGTGGTTGCAGCTGTATGTTGATGTGTACTATTCTCCCATCTTATATTCCGACTCAAAGACATTAACAGCCGTAATAATCTGGATTAGTAGAATAAGTCTATACTTTTATAATTCCTAAGTATTAATATTAAACTTCGTATGCAACAGATGAGAAAGCAGGGGATACTAATTAATCTTCTAAATTTTTAATTCTCATATTTGAATACATTTCCCTGCATTAAAACTGGGTATATTAATCAATATTATACCCTAAAAAAGATAATATGTGAAATTTGCAGTAATTGAATTTGGCTGTTGGAGAGTTTTAGTGACTGTTAAAGAGTGTTTGTGGAAGAAATATATGAAGTGATGTCATCTCGTACAGTGTAGTTTTATATTGTAGTTCAAGTGGAGTTCAAGCATCTTTTGCTTATTTGGCATGATACTATATTTTAAGTAAAAATACTTCAGTTTCTTTGACTAGAAACTGGTCACTGTCTTGTCTCAATTACTGTATTTTCCAGATATGTCATCCTTTGACTCCTGTGTAATTTTTTTCTGTCAAGCCTATGGTATGAATGACAGTTTACTGACAGTTTTGAGCTAACCATAACAAGATGACAATTAATCTATGATAGATAGTGAAAAAAAGCACTCTGTTAATGCTTCCATTAATGTAGAAATGCTTGAACAAGTGTATGTATTAATTTGTAGGCGACTTCCCAGTATTTTTTGGAATTTCAATAGAATTGCATTACACACCTTCTTCTGCTCTTTTGAACATAAAAGTATTTATTTTTAAACTTAATAACTAAGCAGTGATAAAAATATGTTAACACGTTAACTGCCCAACATGAGATAACTCGTATTAGTGCTCAGGATGCTCAATAGAGTTAGTTATCTGGTAGTTTCTTGTCTTGCCACTTTTGCGCTGCTACGAGTTACTTACTCACTTAGCACTTGTTTTAGCTGTACTGAGGCGACAAGTCAAAGCATGTCTGTACGAATCAACTCGTAGTGAAGAGCTTGGTCTAACAAAAGCAGACTACGAAATAATTCATAGGGCCCTTTAAAAAAAAAAAAAAAAAAAAAAAAAAAAAAAAAAAATCCTGTAAGCTTTTTAATGATTTCTATGAATCATAATTAGTATTTTTAATAATATAATATGATTAAATCAATTTGGCTTCTCGGACTGGAATCCAAAAAGTGCTGTGGCAGTCAACATTTTAAAATCAGCAGTTAATTGTGGGAGAATGATTTAATATCATATCAAGTATTGTAAGCATCCATCCTCTACCTGGAGACATATCTCTGCATGTTTAACAACTTTTTTTGGGGAGGGGGAATGCATTTTAACATTTTTTTCTATAAATGATATTAACCCAGAGATTACTTCTGATTTGTCAGTGCATTAATTTTACAGTATTTTTGTAACTTTTGTATTTCCTCTGTGTTGCAGTAATGGTCCAGCCAAGGACACTGATTTTTCACCATAAACATTTACTCCTTCTGTATATTATGACATATTCCTCCTTATGCTGCAACTGACAGGTTAATGCAAAAATAACTATTAAAGCCTTCAGTAATACCATCTGCAAAAATTTCTACATTCTGCTTATTGTTTTTGAGCACTCTGGTTTTACATATTATAATAGCTGAAATTGTGTATAATAGATATTATAATAATGCTTTAAGAAGTTAAATTACTAATTAAAAAGTGGAATAACCTGCTGAAAATCTTTATGAATTCTGAGGAAGAAATGCTTTAAAGTAAAAAGTCACAAGAAAAAAATATATGTATACAGTGAAAAACCTACCTTGAATAACCACCCACTGCTCCAAGAAGATTTTAATTTCTGTAGAAATGGTAACATTAGAGGAGACTATCAGTGATTCTGAATATCACAATTTAATTATATTTTCACAAATACTTGTACTTTATAGTGGTTGCTGTTTAAAAGTTTGTTATATTTTATTGGTTGACAGCAGATGCTTCTGTATCTAGTTTCAGAAAAGTGATCCATACTTTCAAGATACAGAGTAGTTTCAGATTATGATTGTATGCTATCCAAGAATTTAATTCTTAAAGAGTCATTCTGTTAGTTCTGTATTACTAATGATAAAAGAATTATTGTAAAACTATGGTAATGTGCTTTATAAAATTCACAGAACTAATGTCTGTACATCAAATTTGTTATTTTTTTTTAAATACAGTTAGTCCACAAATAAGAATGATTTACTTTTATGATGGAAAAAAATAAGGTTAACAATTTTAAAAAGTTGTTGAATGTTATTGTGAAATATTTGAAGGGGGAATACTCAAGCAGACGACATTAACAAATTTTCTGATCAAAGGAGTACAGCTGAATGAATCATCCAAATGAATAATAGTTGTTGTTTTTACCTGATACCTGTTGTTTTTATTTAAAGACATTTATAAGATTTTTGTGTGTTTGTTGAATTTAGGAAGAACATGCTAATTTTATGAAATATGTATTATGTGTGTAGGTTTATAAATAAGTACACTGCAGTCCAAAAGTTAAGGAACAGCATATTTTCTAAAGCTCACCATTACAAAAATATTAGTAACATTTAAATTCACAATTTATATGTATGATAGTAACAAAGTTTAAGGAAATATATGCAAAAAAAAAAAAAAAAATAGCTACCACTTTTGTTTTATAGAAATGAATACTGATACAGGTGTAGGAGAAAAAATGCAAAAATTGTTATTTTTGTTCGCAAGTGCTGATATTTAATTGCTATTAGCAGTTTTGTTGACAATATCCAGAAGAGTCTGTCAATATCCAGGAGAAGTCGTTTGCCCAATTTGTTGAGGTAGTGGGCAGAAATGGGGATGTCACAAGCTGATGCTCCTAGATTTCTCAATGTCTCTCTCAGTGTAGTCCAGCGACTATAGAATCAGTTTGAATCCAATGATTCTGTGCCTAGAACATATGTTCAAGGCATATCAAGAGTTACACAATCTCCGGAAGACTGTCATTTAGTTCTTCGAGCTGAAGGAGGAGTGACATTACTGTGCCTGAGCTCATGACAGATCATTTAGTGGTCACAGAAACAAGAATCTCAGCTAACAGAGTGTGCAGATGCCTGCACAGCACAGGCTTATATGTTAGATGACCAGTTATTTATGTTCTCTTGCTCTGAGAGGATACAGGAACACGGAGGAGAACACGTGGACCACTTTACAATGGGCTTCTTTTCTCTTCACAGAAGAGTCCAGGTTTATACGGGTGAGTAATTCAAATTGTCAGCTGATCTAGAGGAAACATGACACTAAATACAACCAATCCCATATTATGAAATGTCACAGTTAACAGAGGTGGTGGAATAATGCTTTGAGCTGGGATCTCTCTCGGTGGTCACACTGACCTGCATGTATTCCATGATGGAACTTTGACCAGTTTAAGATAGAGACAAGATCCTTGATCCATATGCCGCTGTTATTGGTCCTCGATTTCTTCTGATGGAGGACATTGCGCGACTGTGCTGAGCTCGGGTTGCTGAAGAATATCTTGAGAGTCATGGTATGGAGGGGATGAAATGACCAGCTCAATCCCCAGACCAGAATCCGATACAGCATCTTTGGGACTATCTTGGTAGACAGGTTGCTACTTTAAGTCCTCTTCCAAGGTCGTTAGCTGAGCTTGAACAAGGATTACTCTATCTGGTCACTGCTTCCCATTTCGCTGACCAACAACTTAATTGATAGCATGAAACATCACTGCTGCCAATTTATTGCAGGTAGGAATGGACACATTCCTTATTAGAACCCATTTTCGTAATGTTACCACTACACTCCCCCCCAAAAAAGCTGTAATGTACTGTTTCTCTAACACTCCCCCCCCCAAAAAAAAGCTGTAATGTACTGTTTCTCTAAGACTGGAGTTTTCTGCCAAGGATGCAATTTTTTGTTATAATTCATGTTTGTGTTAAACTTTAGAAAAATTCCATGTCGCATTCATTAAAGATCTGTTTAAAGAACATGTCCTCTCAATTTCGTGTTTCTCTGCTGCTTTATTCTCAAATTAGGCGCAAAAACATGCTGTTCCTTAACTTCTGGAAGACGGAGTAGTTTTAATTGCTAAGTAAGTTTATACATTCTTAAAACTATTTTATGTTAAATAAAATCCTAAACTACAAAAATACTATCAAGGATACAGTAAATCCCCAAATTATATCAGAAATGACTTACAATGAGTCTGCTGGAACAGCTCAGGTCGTATGTCAAGAACTATCTAATACAGAGTGGAATACTATTTTATAAATTATTCATAAATGTTTATAATATGTACTAATAGATTTTAAATTTGGTAAAAAGATATCTGACATATATGTTAACAAGTGTATTTTCAATTGCAGGTCGTAAGCGAAAGTGGTTTCCTATTGATGAAGCTCTTGATCTTTTGTCCATACATAAGCCTGTACAGTGCTCCTATCTAAAGCTGCTCACAAGGAATGACAAGGTCCCATGACACATTTTCTTATTTGTAAGATACATGATGCAAATAATAAAGGATGCCGATATACAACCACCATAAGCATCAAAGTGAAAATCTAAATTGTGTTTTGCTTTTAGTAGGTGTAAGGATCATATTTCTGTTGTCTGCTTAGACATTTTTAATCTTAATAATGCAATTTACTTGATGTGTACTATAGCACTTTGTGATTGAAAATTATAATAGTAGTAAAATAATGTTGCAGATTTTTTAATACATCGTATGTGTGATATTTTTTGTTTCATATAAGCATAAATGTCTTAAGCAAAAAGAAGTAGAATATTTATTTTCCATTATAAATGATTTAATGAACAATTAAACATTCTTTCACTGTACATCATTCAGTTATATATATTTCAGGTACACTGTATTAGTGGCAGCTAGAATAGAAATTAATAACTGCTACTGTAAATACAGAACTTTCAATTTGTTAGTGTACTTAATATATATCTTCTAAGAGAGTTCATAATTAATATTTTCTCTGCAGGATGAAGCAAAATTTTATTTTAATTGATATCATAATCTGTTTGTTATGCCATATTATTTTGCACTGTTAAAATACTTTTTTATAAATAAATAATCAAAACTCTAAATGAATCATTATATAAACATCTTGTTGAATGTTTACTATAAAAGTGAAACACTCCCATTAAAGTCGTTAATCTGTAGAAAAACTTAATATATTTGATTGTTTTTATCTTCATAAGTTTAAAAAAAATTATGAAGAAATCTTTCCTGTAACTAGCATTCAAAGTTTTTATTAGTCCTTCATGTTAAAAAAAAAATGATTGATGATTTTCTGGATGGGGGGAAAAAAAAAAAATTAGATGTTGCTGCCAAACAGGTGAAAATTTAAATCGGGTTAAAATGTATTTGCTTTATAAGTTTTATTACAGAATGTATCTGAATGCATCATGTTCAGATAGGTAGATGATTTTAAATCATGTAAACCTGTATGAGTGATTTATTTTCAGTTTCTAAACATAATCTCAAAATTAGATGAAAAAAAAAAAATTCTACTTTATTATATGTTCCTTCTTTAAATACTTATAGGCAGTTACTGTAAAGATACAGATAAATTGTTATAAAAAATATTGGCTTAAAATAATGAATATACTTTATATCTACTTTGATGTTTTTAAATACATAAAAGATAAAAATTTGATTTAATTTTAGTTTGTTTTTAAAATTAAAAGCTAACTATTTAAGCTTTATTAATATAGCCCATATTAACTGTTATTCTGCTGTATAAATAGACATTCAGTGTTTAAAAAAAGGCATTATCTTTGGAGCTATATTCAAATGAATATTTAATGTTTAGTTTTTTTTATCTCATTTATATTGTTACTTTAAAAAAAAAAGTATCTAATAAGAAAAATAATTTTTAAAAGTTCTCAATATTGTGAGTCCTTTGAAAAATTACATTTATTTTCTGAATAATTCTTTTTTATATATTTATAAAAAATCATCATATGTGAAATTGGGAGTACTTACTTTGCATTAATAAAAATGTCATTATCGTAACTATTGAGCTAGAATTTAATCAACTTCGCAAAAAAATGAATCACAATTTAAAATGTACCATATGTCACAGCAAATATTAGTATAATCATGAAAATTATTTTAAATTATACTATGAAATGTATATTTAGAAAGCATGACGAAATTTCTAAATTATCTGAAGTTTTATTTCAGAATAGTGTAAATATTTAAACATAGTTATTTGTTGCTGCTGTTTTTGTTTGTTATGAAAGTTAAAACAAGCATTTAGAAAAGATGAAACAAAAATATATACTTGAAGAACTGTGATGAATGATAATCTTTGAAATTCTGCTTTTACGATTTGATGTTCTATTCTGGTGTGTTGTATTGTATATACTGTTCTGGTGTGACTTGTATAATGCTATTCTTTTCCTAAAAGTGTTTTAAAAAAAAGAGTCCTCCCCCTTTTTTTTAAACCTGTGGCTGAAAGTTTAAAATAGTTTTTTTTAAAAAAATCTGAAATGAAATTGAGTGAATGTTTGAGCTAATGAAAGATGATGCTTATTCATCATTATTTACTTAAATATGTTACAGTACAGTTGAACAGTTCTCGAACTCTAATCTAATTTTTAACTAATTGCCAATTTATTTTGTTTTAATTATATAGATTCACACATAGAATTACCCAAATTATGAGAATAAATAAAAAATGTTCTTTTACAGAAGATTACGAAATGACCATGTCCTTCAATACACAAAATCGCATGACAATATTACTTCTCGTCACTTTTTTCGAAGTGCTATTGATTAGGTATCACACATGCTGTTTTTGTTCGTCTTTCAGCTTCTGCCAGAACAAGACTATGTTCTTGCATGAGATTTATGGTGCACTGCATTTGTTATTCTGCTATGTAATACACACGATTACTTAACCCAAACCACAAACAGCAGTATTTGTCAATGTTTTTCATTTTAGAGTAAATAATATTCACAGAGAGAGTATGGGGACTTCAGATTTTGTTTTGCATGATGAAAGGTCATGAAAAAATTTGGCAACTTGTTAATTGAAATAGGAAATATACTTAAAAGCTGAAGTTGTAAAATTACTTTATGCTTGAAAGTTACCAACTTCTCTGTATTTTTTAGTAGTTGATTAATTTGTTCAAATTACTAAAATTAATGACTAAATATTCCTAATTGCTTATTCATTTTATGTTTTTACAAATATTATTAGGTATCTGTAATTTTGTGAAAATCAAATTAAATACATTTTATATACCACCTGTATCATAATATTTATTGATTTTTTTTAAAAATAGAAAAGTTAAAAGGAACATATCATACACATTGCAAATTTTACTGCTCACTGATTATTATTATTAATAATTATTTTTGGTGGGAGGGGGGGTAAGAATGAATGCTCAGATGTTTACTCAATTTCAACTCGGAAGAAAAAAAAATGTAATTATTACCCTTACTGGAAGACTTAAAAAATACCTCTTAGAATTTGTGTAAAGTTCTTTCAGTATTTTTAGCAAAACTGTGTCTAAATATATCAAGGTACATTTCAAGCTAAAAAATACATTTTGAAGACTATAGTTCCCAAATAATTTGAATATGTGCAACAAATATCTAAATGTTATGTTGAATTTCTGGCACAGTTATTTCATAAATATACTTTTAATGCAAAAATGTATTATTTGAATATTCAGGACCTTCATTGAGTAGTAACAGTTGATTAATAATGGCAGATGTTAGAAGTATTCTGTAGATTATTTTGTACATAAACTAGTCAAACTGCTGTGTTCCTCGTATTATATTTATTTGAAAATACTATTTGAGATAATTATATGCTATGTGAGGTAAATTTTTATAGAAATTTTCAACTTTTATTTAAAAAATGCAAGTCTTAATGCCATAATTCATTGTTTGTGATTGCTCAGAATATTTAAATATAGAGTTAGCATTATACTTCTAGTAAAAATGTCATTTTGGCAGTTTCAGGTTGTCGTTTTTATTATTACTGCTTGTATTTTTCATCTGTTGTGAAAGGGAATTTGAGTCATATCAAAGAGTTTGACTAAATTTCAAATAACTTGATAAAGTTTAATGAAAACTGAGTACATAATAAAAATTTGTAATTTTTTTAATACATATCTGTAGTATTTGTTTCTGAAGGTACTTTTAAAATGAATCTTATAAAGTGAATAAATCTAGCAGTGAATATGCTGCAAATGTATATATTTTATTAATATTTATGAATATATTTTATGTGATATTTGCCATAGCAAATTATGCAAAGTATATGTTTGTTGTACAATGATCAGCATCTTTGAATATGTTTTGTCTCTGTGTTTATCTGTTATTTGTATAAATTTTTAAATTTCAAAGAGCACAGTATAATGTATCTTATCAGCAGTCCTTTTCATCTGTATAAGTACAGAGCACTATTGAGCTCTAATAAGATAAGTCTTCTTCTAATGAAGTATTTTCTTCAGTTTGAATTTTGATTTAGATTAGCAGATTATTGAATAAGCATTGCATTAAATTTTCAGAAAATGAAAAAAAAAAAATTTTTTTTTAATTAGACTTAAATTTTCATTTGATGAACATGGTGGTTGTTATTGGAAAGATGTGCTGTTTTAAGTGTGATGTTTATAGAACAGTTAATATATCATTATTTTTTTCTCCCCTTACCAGAATTTAAATTTATGTAATATTATGTAAAAATTCACTATTTTCTTTACATAGAACTTTATTTGCCTAGGATAAAAGTGCATAGTTAAAAACTAAGTAGGCAGTCCCTCCCACAGTTTTCAGCTGTTTAATTTTTTCAACAGCTTAAATGTTTTTCATATATTAGGTTTTAAATTTTTTAAGTGTTAGACTTAACCTTTCAGTGTTATGAATGATAGATCTCTTTTTTACAGGAGTCGTACGGAAATCTGTTGAATTTTATATATTAATGATTTTGTGTGATACTTAGTTCATATTTTATATATTCAAATTGAATTATTTTCTTGTGAAATTAAAATACTGTTCTGTTGTTTATTTCATAAATATATTTTGTAATAACTCTTTTAGTATCCAGCAGATGATGCTTGTGAGGCCAAAAAATGCTTGGTATGCACCATTTCAGGCAGATGATATAATTTAGCATTTTGGAACTCAAAGATGGTTAAGTACTAAACATGTCTGAATCACTGATGTTAATAAAGTCAGATGAATCTTGCATTAACATCTGATGTCTTTCTACAGAATAATACCTGTATAGGTTAATTTTAATTTATTTTATGAGTATTATGCTACATATAATTAGGTGTCTTATTGGATGGGTGCATCGTGCAAGTACTTGCATGGCTGAAAATTAATCTTTTTCATTTAACACAGCTATGTATTCAGTTATAAAGCTTGGATATACATACTGTAAAATAATATATTTGCAATAAAATGCAGGTCCATACCACCAGAACATGATAAAGCGTGAAAAAAGTACATCCTATACAAAATTACATATACAGATTTGGATTTTCGGTTAGCATGTTTCATTTCATTGTCCATTACATTGCAATTCTGAAATGCAACGATTCAAATCTTAATTGAAATACGAAACATCATAAAACTACTACTATGGTATTTTTCCAAAAAGTTATTTTTAAAATTTAGACGTACAGCTTTTAATGTACATAAATCACATTTCATTTATTTTTAAAATATTAATTTATTGGAAATTAGATTTTAAAATATATGTATAAATCTTGAATTGCTAATGTGTATGCTGCAAAAAAATTTCTTGCACTGATTTAAGCAATAAAATGTAAAAAAAAAAAAAAATAATAATAATATAGTCAAAAGATCTTTTTTACACTAATGTTAATATAAAATAAATATTCACATTATGTATATATGTGCAAAGCAATTATTTGTAAAATAATATCACCTTGTCTCCAAATTTTTAGCCATTCTAAATCATTGCAGAAGTTAATGAAATAGAAAGTCCAGAGCTTTCAGAATTGAAATATGAAGCCATTATGAGTTTATGAAAAACAATAAACCACAAGTGAGCATACACACAAATGTTTCTTAGCAACTCATGTGTCCTGTTTTTGATCAAAATTTTCATAATTGTTATGGATATAAATATAGGACATAAAAATTTAATAGTTTTGAGCTGTTAAGACATATCATTAAATGTAGCATGCATACCATGGAAGGATATATATCACGTAAGTAAAGAAATATGCATTTCCAAAAATTTCAGAAATCAAGTCCCCCCCCCCAAATAACGAGGAAAAATTAGCTTATATAAAAACCAGTATTTCATATTTGCTTTATCAGTTAACTTTTTTAAGCAATGTTGCAAGTTCATATTAGTGTCTATTTAATTTAAAAAAAAAAATAAAAAAATAAGCAAATAAGAACTAGAGAAAAGCAAAATACAAAATTTTTTAAACCACCTGTTTGTATTCAATAAAGTACTTTTATCATGTGCAAGTAAGATGTACGTGCACTTTAATTTTATATTTGATAAAACCTGTGCTAAAATGGAGGGAAGAAAGAATTAAGGTTAAGATCCTAAATATAAATTTATATTCTAATCATACTAGTAAAAAAAAAAAAAAAAAAAAAAAAAAAAAAAAAAAAAACCTCTCCCCCTTTTTTGTGCTAAATTTTATGCATCTATTTCCAAAGATTACAGATTTTTTTTAATCAGATACTTTTGGCAGTGATAGGCATCTTGGGTACTATAAGAGTTAACACCAATCACTTTCATAATTTAATTCATTTTTTATGCACTGAAAGGATATCTTTCTGAATCTCAATATCATAGTTTTCATTTTGCATCACTAAATTCATTGCTACTAAGTCCCAATTTCAGTATGTTGAATGTATATGTGTCCAGTTTTCCATAATAAAAATAGTACTCTAATAATGTTTTGATTTTTTTCTAGTGTTTCTCTTTCAAAATTGCAGGAAATGGAAATAGGTTCATACAAACTGGCCCTTAAAATTATATCAAGCATTTCTGACACTAGTTTTAAAAAGTTGTTTGTTAGAATGTCATTTCTAGATTCATTTTTTAACAAAGGTAGTAAGTAATTATTAATACACTTTGCACAAAATTGAATTTGTGGATTTCCCTAAATAAGCAATATTACTTAGTTTAAAGATGTACAACTTGAATGCCTGAACTGATATATAATGATGTGTAAACTCTGCGAGCATACACACAAAAAAGGGAGGGAAAAAAGAAAGGGGAAAAATTGCTGCATTTAACAATATCGTACGCAGAACTAAAAATATAAATATTGATACAAACCAACTCCCCAAAATGTAACTTAATCTGAAAAGATATAAAGAGACATATGTCTAATTTTCTTTTACAAGAAGCCTGATAATTAAAAGTTATGATGTAAGTTTATTTTCAGAGTTTTATTTCATTTAAAGATGAAAAATACCATTTTCAAGCAATTCATATTAAACCATCAAGCTTTTGATATTTGTGATGCAATTTTACTTACAAGACTCTAAGATGAAAGTTTTAGACTTCTTGTGGTTTTCCTTAGAAGTATAAACTTGTATATATAGTTACATCAGTTTATTGATAAATGGATCATTACATTACTGTGTACTATAATCAGCAAATGCTACTACATACATACAGTGATTATTGAATACTGTATTCTAGAATACTGCTGGAATTGCAATACATTGTTTAAGGAAACTGCTTCCACAAAATCAGTTCTAGAAAAAATATAAAACATTATTTAATAAATTTCTTTTTATGCTTTTGATAATTTTTAAGCTGTTCACTAACTGTAGTTCGTATTGACACGATGCACTTAAGTGGATGCTTGCAAGTAGAGCAGGTATTATTTTCTACATAGCTGTTCATGGAAATTTTTGCTCTAAGCATAGAATACATGGACTGAAATACATAATACAGTGTCTTGTGTAAAATGGTCCTCAGCATCTTTGAGTACACTTTTTTTTACATATTGGCAGCTTTTTTAATTGTATTTATTACTACTTTTTCTATTATTTCATGACTTGAATTGTAAATTCATTTTTGTTGCCCATTATGAGCTTTTTTTACACAATATAATAACCATGCAGCAAATTGGGGAGTGGGGGAACCAGCATTCTAAATTCTAGATGATCAATTATTCTCACATTATTTTTATAATAAAATAGCAGTTAATGGTTTTTAATTTATTAAAACGTGTTTTAGCTTTAGATATAGTTAATTTGAGAAAAACTTCTTTAGAAATACATTTTTGACCTGATTGAGATTCATCCATAAAATTCTAATAATATAATATCTTTATAGAAGATGGCTTGAATAGGATAAGATGCAAAGTGTTGCATGCATAAAGGTTGATAGGTTGCTAAAATTTATTTTATCAACAGAAACACAGAACGTTCCATAGAAATACTCTTATAGGTGTTCACAATATCACGAAGTACAATCTGTAGTTTTACTTCAAACTACTAAGGAGAACGTTAAACACAATGCAAGGAAAGCACATCTAAAAGGTGAGGCTTTCAATACTCCAACGTTGCTGAGAGCTAACAACTTACAAGAACAACTAAGAGCAGATACTCTCTTCATCCTTATATAATTTTCACCCAGTCGCCGAGATATTTCTAGTACTTTCTGCTTCTCAAAAATTACTGAAAGACAATATGAGGATCGAATTATTGTTACAGCTAATTATAGCAATCAATAACATTTATTCAATTATAATGCCTATTATGGTGATACAGAGACAGGACCAAATTGTCACCATTTTGACAAATTTGGTGACAAAAATTAGTTGCCAACTTGGCGATATCTCACCAAATTACCGAGATACCCATTTACTCAATGTTAATGGACCTGTATTCTTACTTTTCTGGCATAGCTTCTCTCTGTAGATTTTTTTTTTTTTTTTTGTTAGATTACACAGAAAAATGCACAACAATTTCACATATAATTGCATTAAAATCATCAATTTATGTACAATATTTGTAACAAAGGAAAAGCTAAGTTTGATTAGAGCAGTCTTGACCAAAATGACAAATGAGTTGAAAATGCTTTAATTACAGTTAGTAGAATTTTAGAGTAAAATCTTGTGTAGGCGTTATAGAGCTTAAAAAGATATATTCTACCAAATGTGAAGGGAAAACTATTGACTTGGTTAAAACATCCACTTCATAAATGGTTTTATACTAAGAAAGGAAGTTGAGATTGCCAATAAACTTTATGTGGAATTAGAAGGATTATAATTGGTAATTAAGTCATATTTTAAAAAAAATGGGTCCAGGTTAGTGTATGAAACTACTTATGAGGGATCAGGAAATGTTAATAGATTAGGGGAATTAAAGAATGTAATATTTTCTTAAGCAATAACTTTATAGCATATTCATTGCTGGTGAGGTAAATTTTTATGAAACTACTTATGAAGGATCAGGAAATGTTAATAATAGATTAGGAGAATTAAGAGAATGTAATATTTTGTTAAGCAATAACTTTATGGCATATTCATTGCCGGTGAGGTAAATTTTTTTGTATGATTATAGCAGAAAATGTTGCAAAGGGGGTAGGAAAATAGCAAGGAATAAGATAACCATACACATTGTCTTTCCTTATGTTAAAAACTTCTCTATGCAGATAAGAGAAAATAAACAGCCTATATAATTTGTCTCACTTTTGCTGAATGTGAAGATAGGATAAAATGGAAAAACTGTATTATTACAATATAAAAATATTTTGCGTGTGTGTGTAACGATTATGAATTATTTTATTTTCATTTTAACACAGATTGTTTCATAAAAAAAAGTTTGCTTCCAAATCAGCTGAATGCAGACTTTATTGATTCTAATAAAATTCTGAAAGCTGCTGTTTTACTCAGAACAAATAAGCCTTTATCATTGCCGCTCACATCGTACATCTTAGCATAAGTTATGAAAATTTGCAGTTTAGGGTGTTTTAAAAAATTATTCACGTATAATTGCTTTATAATTACTTAAAATTTTGGGATCATATACAGATATGTGAAGTTTCTTAATATAAATATCTGAAAGCTATCTTTTAGGCACAAAAAATATAGAAGCATAGATTTTATTTTCTCTATGTGATGAAATGTGAAATTTTTTTTCATCCTACAAAATTCAATTTTTATGACTTTTAAAGTGATTTTTTTTTTTTTAATTTGAAGAAAAGAATTTGGTCATATGATTTTAAAATTTCTTCATGACCAATTTTTTGGATTACTGATACAAAGCTTTTTCTAGGACTTGTGGAATAAACAGGATACTCATTAGAACTTTAGAATCGGGAGGTGTGTGACAGATACTCTGCATAAAATTTTTGAATTTTTTTACCAAAATATTATATGATATCCTAAAACCCTATCTGATTGAATTCACTTTTCAAATTGCAACCACACCTTATAACTATATTTCCAAGGCATAGTTAATCTGGCAGTAACAATGAAACAGTAATAATTCCATGATTATGGAGATTAGATTGTGCTTTTAGTTAAAATAAGAATGAAAACGTTTTTGCATTATCTTTTGTGAATGCTCCAAAGTGGCACCCCCAAAACAATGTTAGTTTACTTTAGGTTGTATTTGTGAAATTTGAATGCAGGAGTTGCATGAAGTTTTCATATATATTATAAATACAAATCAATTTATTTTATAAAGCACTTCATGAAGGCATCCCTTTGCATTTGCAGACAATATTTGCGAAAGTCAAATCTAGTCATTGGTCAAAGGATTATAGAAACTAAAACACCAATTGAAAGCAGGAATATTCATTGTACAATATTGTTTACACAAATAAAATATCTGCTGAGTTGTATAAAACTGAACCTCAAAAGGTTTGCTCTCCTACTGGAAGCCAAATTAAAAAAAAAAAAAAAAAAAAAAAAAAAAAAATTGCCAAACTATAAAACATATTATTGCAACAAGAAATTGTCTATGATAACTGAAGCAGAGGGGAAAAAAAGGCTTGCAGTCCCTTAAAAAAATACGTTCCTGAAAATTTAAAGATCTTGATTATGGGCATTCAGTATTAACAACTTAATTGAAATATTCATAGTAATAAATTTCTCGAATTTTAATATTTATTATATACTTTTTGTAAATATATTTATAACAATTATACTAAGAAAGTATACTAGTAAGTTAGTATTATACTAAGAAATGATGTCATTTTAAAATCCAAACCAGGACTTTAAATCCTCAATTACTCTTCAGTTTTGCTAGATCTTTGAAATGAAAAATAACCAATAAACAGTTTAAATCTTTTTCTTGTGCATTAAATATTAGCCTGAAGAGGCTATTAATTTCGTTTTGGCATTTTGCATCGGTTCACTTTTCCTGCATTATATTTAAAGAAATTAAATTATGAAGAATCTGCATGAATGTATGTTTCTCGCACTATGAAAAACAACGGTATAGTTCGACCGCCCCATCCGCGACCATGAGCGCAAACACGCATGCGCCATTCGAACCGAATTATTCTCAAACTAGGTTGGAAGGATGGGGATTTTCTTTCCCTACAGCATAGGTCTTTCCGGAGAAGAGAAGACCTTTCATGTCACAGCAAGCCGCCCCTTTTGGACGAGTCTATGTGTTTTGGCAGAATGCCAACCAGGGTTGCGCTTCAGACGGTCGAACCATACCTAGAGACATCAAATTTTGAATAATGTAGTCCTCCATTCGAATATGGGCATCTGTAAGCCTGAATTTGATTTATTATCTATTTCATATTTTGTCAAACATTAAATAATTGTTGATTAACAAATTCAACGATGTCAAAATAAGCAATGACAACACCGTACAGAAAAAAAATTATCTTCAGCACACAACATTATGTATCAGAAATTCTACAGATATGCTCTTTTAAATATTTTGTGATATTGCTGCTGAGTTGAATTTTAT